GGAGCGGAGGTGCGGGAGGAGGCATGGAGGGAGCTTCTTGTGCTTCTTGGAATGGTTCTTCGTCTTTCTGATCGGTTGGGATAGGGGAAGCGGGCATTGGGGGTGCCGGGGGAGGAGCAATTGGGCTATGGGTTGGTTGTGGAGTAGCAGCCTTCGAATCTTGAGGCTCATCCATGGCGCTTAGAGGGCGTGGAGGAGCCATGGTTCCGAAGAGAATGCTGGCTAGTTGCTTAGCGCTGCCGCCGGCAGCACGGTCGTCGTTGTCAGATGAGTTCTCAGACTCAGCGACGGACCAATCATCATCTTCTTCAGGACGAGCTCGAGACTTACGCTCGAGTGGACCGGGAAGGGCCGCGGTTCCCACCGAGAAGGCGGATTTGGCGTTGTCTTGAGCAAGGCGGTGGAATGGGTTGGTTGACTGGGTTTCTGGTGCCGGTGGTGCCGGTGCTGGTGCCGGTGCTGGTGTCTCTGCAGCTGCGGGCTCAGAGGACGACTGGCTGAGTTGACGGAAGTAAGGGTTCCTTGACTCAGTTTCAGGAACGAAGGGTTTGCTCATGACTGGATGGATAATAGGCTCAGGGGATTGAGGACGGAACACCTGCGTGCCATCTTCCTCTGTTATGATTTCGGGGATGTGAGGTGCTGGTGGTGGTCGTGGTACTGGTGCTGGTAAGTCAGGCGGAGGGATCGCAGCCTTTGGCTCCTCTAGGACTTGGCTTTGGGTGGGCGTGTTATCCTCAGGGGTAACGAACCCAGGACCTTCATCGTCTGAAGAGGATTCCTCATCTCCAAGGCTCTCAAGCTGTCGTTGCAATTCACGCTCGCGTTCTTGTGCAGCTTCCAACTCAGCTCTCTGAGCTGCAAGCTTAGCCTCTTTCTCCCTGGCTTCTTGTTCTGCCTGCTGCTTGCGGCGTTTCTGCTCCTGTTTCTTGATCTTGCCTTGGCGGACCTGCTCTTCCAAAGCCTTGAGTCGAGCCTGAGCAGCTTCTTTTTCACGAGCAAGTTCTTCCTCTTGTTTCCTAGTCTCGTCCCTAAATCATGGGTTAGAACTGCTAAGCTAGCACAGATTCTTAGCCAATTGACTTACTCTAGTTGTTCCGTCTCAGCTTCCTGAGCCTGTTGTTCCTGTCTAAGAGCGGCTTCCTGCTCTTCCTTAGCTCTGATAGCAAGGGCTTCCTCCTCGGCCTTCTTCGTCTCAATCTGCTCAGCAGAATCCGATCTGGCTTTGCGAGATGGAGGAGGTGGTGGAGCTTTCTTTGGTCCGGCCTTTGGTGGAGGAGCAGGGGCCTGCTCACTCTCCAGCCTCCGTTGTCTCTCTTGCTCGCGCTTAGCATCCTCTTCCTCGGCGCGTAGGCGTCTTTCTTCCCTTTCTCGCTTCTCACGTTCTTGCCGTTCCATGAAAGATTCTCCAGCATCAGCTGGCTTGAGACCAGCTGCAGCCATCCGTTCAGCAATACGGCGCTGAGCTCGCTCCCTGGCAGCAGCCACTCTTTGCTCGTGCGTCGTTCCGGCAAGAGATGGCGACTGAGATGAAGAACGAGGTTCAGGACTTGGTCTGGATTGAATCTCAGCCTGGCTTCCATATTGGTTTGCACTAGAAGCTTCACGGCTCGCTTTCTCCCTCTCCCTGTAGATGATATTTGTTAGTCGAAGAATAATGCATGCTGTAAAGTAAGGGGCTTACTAACTCTTCTTTTCTGATCTTCGCCGTCTTACGATTACGCTGAAGGTCATAGATGAGGTCTCTGATCTGATCTTCAACCCCGAGGGCTTCCTCCCAACGCCGTCGCTCATGTTCACGAGTAGAATTCTCATTGTCACCCTTAAGACTATCCTCAAGACTAGCAGAGAACTCCTTGACGCTCTCCTCCACATCCCTAGTCATGGCATCGTTACGCTCACGTTCAGAGTTAATCTTGCTTCTTTCCTCTTCCAATCTGCGAGCTGCAGCACCTTCATCTGCAGCAGCAGGGGCAGGTCGACCAGCCAGCTCAGCAGCTCTGGCTTGCATCCTTGCACGAGCACGGGCCTTGATACGATCACTCTCGGTGATCGCACCGCCTGGACCAGTACCGATGATTTCCAATGCACTTCCTGGGTGTTCTTTGGCATCCTTCAGCCTGAAAAGTTCAAGCCTGCAGTCCGCAATAGCTCGTTCCGTCTTGCGTACATTGGAGGCCAGTTCGGGAAGTTGGTCCTGATAAGCCTGCAGCTGGCGGCGCATGCTACGACGCTCAGCACTGGAATCCAGATTTCTAAGCGAAGCTTTTGGATCGGTATCGATGTCATCTTGAACTCGGCGAATTCTGTCCATGAGAGACTCTGCCTCCCTCTTGTCCCTGCGATCCATAGCTTGCTCTTCCTCGGCATGGCTCTCGTCTTTGAAATCCGTAGCATCAAGCATGATCTTGGTTTCTCGGATTTTCTTCTTCAGTTGCTCGACGGACAAGTCATCGTCAGATTTCTCTGACTGTACAGAAGTAGCCGGCGAGGGAGTCCGGCCGGCACCAATGCGACGACGAGCACTTGACTTGTATCCAACGGCATCATCGTTGTTCTTGAAGACAGTAGCGTCTTTCCTTGGATAGCCAGCACCACCAGACCCAGAATTAAAGGAGTGAGTCTTTAAGTAGCTAACACCAGTCTTCTGGGGCTGCAAGAACGCACCAGAGGATTTCCTAGCCTCTGCATCCTGGGAAAGCATCGACTTGACGGCCCCAATGGAATCGTTAAGATTCCTAGTTGAAGGCGGCACAAGCTCCGGAGGAAGTCTGTTTGGAATAGGATAGCCGTTAAGTTTCCTGTAAATAAGATGCATGGCCACGGCAAATTCATCCTTATTTAAACGGCCTCTGTTATTGGGATCGGAAAGGGTCCAAATCTGTTCCAGGTGTTGACGTTCCAATCCACTCTGGCCCATAATCTCAATGGCAACATCTCCACCAATGAAACCCTTTCCTAGACCATCCCAGGCACGGAAAAGCTCATCATAGATTTTCTTTTCGTCCTTGGTGACAGCCCATGGAATGGTAGCATTTCCAGAAAGTCCGGCAGTGGTAAATGTACCGGTTTCCCTTCCGGCTTGTGGCATGAGTCTCTGCTGGAGTGCTTCAATATTGGGCAACCCTGTGGCTGGTGCATTGACAAATCCCCACCGGCCAGGCATCCCTGTCGGTTGGGCGGTTAATGGGGCAGCACCGCCGGTTTGACCAGGGGTTAGTCCGGAGGTGAATGAAGCTGGCATGGGTGGCATTGGTGGCCGGGGACCTGAATATCCTGTGGCTTGAGGGTTTTGCGGCATGCCAGTGACCTGGGGTCGTAGACCACCTGGGAATCCTGTTGGCTGGGGCTGCATAGCACTGGGTGGTTGAAAGCCAGTAGCTTGGTTATAGAAACCTGTTGGCTGGGCAGTTAATTGAGAGAGAAGCTGTGAGTTGGAAGGTTGCTGGGGCTGTGGTTGTTGCGGCGCAGGAGGAGCGGAGGTATTCTGCATCAATGGCTGGTCAAAATTGGGGGCGTTTGATCGGGGAGCTTGTGGCGGGTGATCATCAGGCACCGCAAAGGAGATGATGTCGACCATGCTTGAAACTTCGTTTTTGATACGATCGGGTAGTGTAGCGGGTAGATCGCGGCCTGTTATTCGGAGGTTGCACAGGTACATGGCCAGCGCAAACTCGGGAAACATAAGACGGCCAGACTTGGTAGTATCTGAGAGTACCCTATATAGCCCAGTCAGCCAAAAACCGTTGGAAGGCCCATTGAATGTAAAGAATCCGCGTACCATATTTTTGACAGCTCACTGCCAGGTAACTTCGACCGTAGAAGTAAATCTCTCGCCGTTTCGCCTATTCCAAAACGTCAATCTCGGACTGCTATAGATACCTAAGTATAGCCCTTCCCCGGCACTAACTCACCATCCAATGACTGCGAATCTCCAACAGCAGACTTGAATAGCTGCTCAAACTTGGCCTGGTCCTGCACCGTTATAAACGACAAACGCATCGGCGGTATCTTTGACCCGGCATGCGCACTCCTCGCAGGGGCCGCGGGAGCCTGTCCGGGGATATTTTGAAACGACTGCGCCATTTGCGATGATGTATGGCCCGTAGGCTGGGGAGCCTGGCTGGTGGACTGCGGAACTTGTAAACTCGAGCTCTGCTGGGTAGGATAGCCCGTCATCTGCGGCGGTTGGAGGGAGGACTGGAAAGGGGGAGCCTGCTGCTGCGGCTGCTGCATGGCGCCGGGGAACCCGGTGGCCTGAGGTTGGAGCTGAGGCATTCCAAAGCCGGTAGGTTGAGGCATGAAGGGCCCAGGCTGTTGCTGCTGCTGCTGCTGAGGCTGCTGGAAGCCTGGATACTGCTGTTGTTGCTGGCCGCCATACTGCTGCTGCTGGCCCGGCTGGCCGGTGGGAAACGAGTACATCACACCAGCACGCGAGGACAATGAAATGGGGTTCCGGGACTAAGAATTAACAATACCAACGAGAAAGGAGGAAGATAAGACACGAATAAAAGTGCAAAAGAAAAGGAATGCGGTTATAGAGGCGAAGATGGCTGTTTGATGTCGGAGTTGGGATGTTTTCGTCGTCGTCGCAGCGTCGAAGTTGACGATGGAGAGTCCGAAAGCGGCAAAACATGACGCCGCCTGAAGAAGTCTTGGCGTGGGCATCTACATAGCGACGGCGAAAAGGAGACGACGAAAAGATATTAAAAGGAGAGAAAAGAAGAGGGAGACTAAAGATGTAGACGGAATGATATTAAAACCTGAGGTAGACACCGAGGTATACACCAAGGCAGAGAACAGGCAAATGTAAAAACAGGACCCAGTAATCCTCCCAGGACGCCAAAATTAAAGCTGTCATCATCCGTAAAGCAGTCAAGCAGTGACATGTATCATGAAAGTATTATTATTTATTTATTTATTTATTTTTTATTTTATTTTTTTTTTTCGTCGTTTTGTCGTTTTCATTGGTTTTGTTGAGACTCGAGGGCGCAACAAGCTTAGACACCGTTTGGAGCATCGTTCTGCTGGGTGCCGGCGCCGACCATCTTGCGCAGCTCATACTCCTTGGTGAACTCACGGCTGAAGATGCCGAGATCCTTGACTAGGTCGTGGCAGGCAGCAAGAACTGCTTCCTTGGGGGTGATCTGACCATCGGTCTGGACGCGAAGGAGCACCTTGTGAACCAGCGGGTGGGGGATCTACAGACGTAGGTTAGTATAATAGTCAAATAGTTACATATAGTAGGAGATTTTGGGTGTTGCTTACGCGATATCCAGAGAAGAGGACGTGCTGGTTCTGGAGCAGACGAGAGCGGATCAGGTTGCCCAAGGTGTGGTCCTCCTTGTTGAAAGTAAAGATGGCAGTAGAGGGAACACCTAGAGCATTGTTAGATGGCAGTTGATGATCAGAATAGAGTCAGTATCACTCACGAGTATCAACCTCGACTTCAACCTTCTTCTCACCAGGCCCCAAGACGAAGGACTCGAATCTGTAGTATGAAGTTAGCATAGATTCGTCAAGGCAGCTGCAAACAAATATGAATGTAGAAAAACAGAAGCGAGGTCGAACCTCGAGATTAAGTCCCTATGAGGTCGGACTTGGGTACGACATGGGTTCTGGCGGTAACTCGCGCAGGAAGAGTCGAAAAAGGAGCGATCACGCTTACGCTCGTCGTCGACCATTTTGATAGATGCAAGCAGTGTTTTTCAAAGTCGGAAGCGAAAATATCACAGAAAGGTGCAGGAAGTGTGAGTTGTTGAGGGTGAAAAGGAAAGGAAGGAAGGAAGAAAAAAGGAGGAAGGAAAGATAATCAAAATATCAATTATCAAATGTGTGTGTGAAAAGGACAAAAAAACACGCTAAGAAATAGTGTTTGATATCAAATTGGTAGCATCAGAATACACAAGAAACTGCATAAAGATGAGCATGGTAAAGACAGTTCTAGCATGGTTGATAGCTACAACAGGCTCACTTTATAGGATACTGAGGATAGGGGGCTTTGGGGAGGAGATATATCTGGCGATAGATATACCATAGATTGGACTTGAAAAGACTCATATTTGGCCACAAAACTAGCAGCAAAGCAGCAAAGCAGTCAACTATTCTTACCTGTCTGGAGCATTCATCTTGCTGAGGTTGAAGATGTATCAATATCTGAGAAAAAGAGGAAGTATCAAAAACACCGGCCCAGGAAGTCTCTGCAGACTGCCCTTCCACCTGAGGACGAGAGGCTGAAGTCGACGTCGAAAAGGGGCTCGATCGATGTACAGAGAGGAACCTGGCTTATCCAAGCAGCAAGGAGCCCTCGGGAGCGTAGGATGATGGATAGGAGGCGTGAAAACGAGCAAGAAGTAAATGTTTCGAGGGAAAGGATAAGATGATAGGAGAGAGAGGAGATGTAGGAATAAGGGGGTATTATTTGTGTGTGAAGAGGATATCAAATTTGATGTATATATAGTAAGAGAAAACTCCGCTGGTAGAGGCTCGGCGTGGGTTTTTCTTTTTACTCTCTTTTTTCTTTTCACTCTCAGTAGGGCTAAGTGCAGGCTATAACTAGGGGGTATGCACTTCTTCACTCTGCATACAGGACCTTTTCCTGGCCTTTTAGATCGCGGCTTTGGTATAAATATAAGAGTTGCGATAGTTGAAGATTCAAATATCCTAAAGATTCAAAGATGAAGTCGGAGTCGCTTTTTAGAGCTGAGTCAGCATGAAGTCACGTGAAGACTCAGAGTCGCAGAAGAGAAGAAGATAAAAAGCAGTAGAAGATGATGATATTATTATTATTATTATTATTATATTAAGACATTAAGAAGATGTTAATAATGAAGTAAGTGACTGGATATATGTTGGTAAGAGTGTAGGAGAACAGTGGTGGGACTGTCTTTTGTAGTGAATGGCAGTAACAACCACTAGCAAGTAGATATTCACTAAAATACATGCATGGACAGACTGAAGACTCTCAGGGATAAAGACACAAAATAGCCTGTTAGAGAGATATATATGTGATGCTTGGGCTGGCCCCGGACTCGCCTAGCCGTCTCGTATATGCGTTATGCGTAGACCGTGAATGATGGCCTCCAACCGCCTAACTACGTCACATTCTCGACATTTACCAACACGACCATCAGCATCACCACCTGATACCACACTCAACATCCAGCCATCATATGTATAGAAACACAGGAAGACGCAGTGTTTGACTCCGCGAGGCTCAGACGGCAGCTCACCGGCCGAGACAGCCAGCCAAACGCCCTGTGGGACCCAGGAGGCAGCTCGGAAGGTCGCCGGCTGTATTATCAATCGCCTCGACGTCGCCTTGATTCCGTCAGCTACACTCTACCAGGCCGATTTCAGCTGTTCAAACATACTTATTACAGTTCGGATACCCGGAAGACGAATTGCATATATACCAGCAGATAGCCTCCACACATACCAGCTAACCAGACACCAATATCAATTACCACTCCCCTACTGCCAGTATCATATAGTATCATATACCCATACTACCAACATGCCCAGTCTAAAGAAAGAGTACCCCTGGATCCAGGAACCACTTATAATATGTCCTCCCATGCTCCCCGTCGCAACAGGCGAGCTGGCCGCGGCCGTCTCAGCCGCAGGCGGAATCGGCTTCATCGGACTCGGCAACAACATCGACAAACTTGACGCCCAGCTCTCCCTGGCCGCCCACCACCTGCAAACAACACACGCCCAAACCAGCCTACAAACAACCAACGCTGCAATCCTACCTGTTGGAGTCGGCTTTTTAAACTGGGGCGTCAAACTCGAAGACGCACTGCCCTCTATCAAAAAGCATGTTCCAGCAGCTATTTGGCTATTCGGCGCTGCACGAGAGACCATGACAGCTCTCTACGGGGAGTGGATTGCTCGCGTCCACACTGAGACGAACGGACTCACCAAGGTCTGGGTACAAGTTGGATCTGTAGCAGACGCATTGAGCATAATGGACGTTTCTGACGCGCATCGGCCGGACGTGCTTGTTCTGCAGGGCTCGGATGCAGGTGGTCACGGCCTGAAGAAGGGAGCAGGCATAATTACGCTTCTGCCCGAGGTCCATGATGCGTTGGCCGAGAATAACATTTCTATTCCCCTGGTTGGAGCAGGTGGCATTGCGGATGGTCGCGGCGTGGCTGCTGCATTGTGTCTGGGTGCCGATGGTGTGGCGATGGGCACGCGGTTCCTGGCCTGTAAGCAGACGGATATCATGAAGGGGTATCAGGATGAATTGATCCGGGCAAAGGACGGGGGCCAGACAACTGTTCGCACAACCATATATGATCGGCTCAGGGGCTACTTGGACTGGCCGGAGGAGTACGATGGACGCGGGATGGTGAATCAGAGCTACGTGGATGAGCAGGCGGGCATGCCTGACGAGGAGAATAGGCGGCTGTATGAAGTCGAGAAGACCAAGGGAGATGCAGGATGGGGGGTTAAGGGCAGGATGACCTCGTATGCTGGGACGGGGATAGGGTTGGTCAAGGCGGTGATGACGGCGGAGGAGATAGTGCGTCAGACCCGAGATGAGGCCAGGAAAGTGCTTAAACTAGATGTCTGACCGGTTGGGATTGGTAATTGCTATGCTTCTTATCACGCTCTCTCTCTCTCGATGGGTTATGCTATTTTCCCATGCATGGTCAGTCAGAGTATATAACCTTTTTTATATAAAACAGCTACTTTACAATATTACTTAAAGAAAAAGGACAGGTAAATATACTTAAGAAAGAAAAGGAAACGAGATATCCGCTGAAACTCCCTGAGTACGATAAAAATCAATAAAACGAAAAGAGTAGAGCAAGAATTTGATATACGCCAGGGAGGAAAAGGATGGAAAAAGGACACACCAGATCCAGTTTCGAAAAAACTAGCTCATATTCTCATACTT